ACACACACACACATATATATATATATATATCATATGTATATACACACAATTATGTATATATATATACACATATGTATTTATATACATATATATGTATTTATGTATATTCATATATATTTATATACATATATATGTATTTATATATATTCATATATATTTATATACATATATATGTATTTATATATATTCATATATATTTATATACATATATATGTATTTATATATATTCATATATATTTATATACATATATATATGTATTTATATATATTCATACATATTTATATACATATATATTCGTATATATTTATATACATATATACATATATATGTATTTATATATATACATATATATTTATCTATATTTATTTATAGATATAAATATATATATGTATATAAATTACATATATATGTATTTTTATATATACATATATATTTATCTATATTTATTTATAGATATAAATATATATATATATGTATATAAATTAAAACTCTGATGAACCAGATTCTACAAAAACATTACATTCAAATTTTTATAGGTTTTCATCATCATTTGATGTATTTGCACTCATTGTGTCTACTTTTAATGTTCATTTTAGATGTGTGGTTTCCTTTCTTGTTCACATATATACATTTTATTTTTAGCTTTGCTTTAAAGTTCTTGTTTTGTGATTTGTACATTCGTGAGTTAAAATAAAGTTGAACTGAAGGTCGTCTCTTTTCTTTAAACATGTTTGAGGGAAATATTCCTGAGATCCAATAGTTTTGTGTCTTTTTATGATTTTCAGCTGAGTTAACAGTCATTAAAGTGAAAACAGGATTTCATGATGAAGCTGGCACCGTCTTTTTTTTTTTTTTTTTAATCTTCAACGCTCTGCTGGTCTCGCACGACACTGCCCGCAGTCACACGATCCTCTCCTCCGGAGAGGAGGAAGCTGGGAGGCTCATCCTCCCAGCTCCAGCTCAGCTGGTGACTCCAGAGGCTGTTCCAAGACTCCAGCCGCGCGTAATCATGAAGGTCCGACCCGCGCAGACAGGCGGACAGAGACGGGTCTGCGACGAACGGTGGAAGCGATTTTAAAAAACATTTTACGTGTAAAAAAAAAAAAAAATTCATTTTTAAATCGCTTCAGCATTTTTTAAAAACATTTTTTGTATAAAAACAAAATGTTATTTTATTTAAAAATCGCTTCCAGCGTCCGTCCCAGACTGTCCAGTACGCCTGACTGCCGGGCGGGATCGGGATTCAGCCTTCATGATTACGCGCGGCCGGGGTCTCACAACGGCCTTCTGCGAGTCCCCATCTCCAGCTTCGCAGTGACCTGCGGAGCTCTGAGCACACAAGGCTGGTATCCAGAACCCGAGCCTCCGAGTCGGCACATCGAAGGTTCTTCCGCGGTGACCAGCTGAACTTGGAGCCGTGGAGATGACGCCCTGCCCGGCCTGGCGCTCCAGGCTCCGGAGGGAGGATCGGGGTACACCAGCAGAGCTCCATCCAGCTTGCTCTGAATTATGTTGTCGGCCACCAAGCACAAAAAATGCCAGCACATCAACATTAGACCAAGATGTTGTCAGTATTGTTTTTAAAATCTTTAAAATAAGTCCAGCCGCTGCTCCAGTCCGAGAAATTGCAAATGGCGGATTATTGTTTTGAAACGTTTCTGAAGGATCCAGTGACTCCGCCCCCGACTCCGCCCCCGACCAACCAGTGACCGACAGTGTACTGACGTCACGTTTTTGTACCTCTTCGTACCGGTTAGAACCACAGAGCCAAGGGTACTGAAAATAGTAACAGGTGCTAAGTACCCGTACTAATGGAAAAGCCTCAGAACCGGGCCAAGTAGGGTCGAGTCGGCCCGTACCGGTACTAATGGAAAAGGGGCATTACTGGACCTCACATCTGCCTTTGATACAATTGACCACGAGATCCTCATTGCGAGGTTAGAGCAGTGGGTGGGCATCAATGGGTCAGCCCTCGAATGGTTTAGATCTTAACTCGCTGACAGGTCCTTTTGTGTCTCCATCAAAGATTTTAGTTCAGCCTCGGCAGCGCTTAAATGGGGGGTACCGCAAGGGTCCATCCTTGGTCCTCTTTTATTTTCTTTATACCTGCTGCCACTAGGTGCTATTTTCAGGAAACATAACATACCTTTTCATTTCTACGCCGACGACTGCCAAATCTACTTCCCCCTCAGACTCAACGGTACTCACTCTATTCAACCGTTACTGGACTGCCTGGCTGATATCAGAGATTGGATGGCTTTAAATTTCTTGAGTTTCAACGAGAAGAAATCTGAAGTTATGCTCTTTCCTCCCAATGACACAATCACCAACCACTGCATCGACCTATCCGTTCTGTCACCGTTAGTGAAACAAAGAGTCACTAATCTAGGAGTGATACTTGACCCTTCTCTGAAACTCAACCATCATGTAAATATGATTGTTAAATCCTGCTTTTTCCAGCTGAGGCGACTGTCTAAGCTGAAGCCTTTTTGTCCAAAAATAACCTGGAGACAGTAATTCATGCATTCATTACATCCAGGCTCGACTATTGCAACTCACTCCTTTTTGGTATCAGTCAGACCTCCATAGCTAGACTCCAACTGGTCCAAAATGCAGCAGCCCGGTTTTTGACCAGCACAAGCAAAATAGAGCACATTACACCTGTTTTGGCCTCCCTACACTGGCTTCCGGTTCACCTTCGAATCAAATTCAAAATACTCTTGTATGTCTATAAATCACTAAACAGCTCTGGCCCCTCCTATCTTACTGATCTGCTCCAGCCGTATGTCCCACCACGTTCTCTCAGATCAGCAGACCAGTTGCTCCTAACAGTCCCAGGAACCCGTCTCAAGCGCAGAGGTGACAGGGCCTTCTCTGTAGCAGGACCAAGACTTTGGAATGAGTTACCTCTGCTCGTTAGACAGGCCCCCTCCCTCACAGTTTTTAAATCTCGCTTAAAAACACACTTCTATTCCCTGGCTTTCTGCACTGTGTGATCTGTGCTGAGTCTGTGTGCATCACACTGTGTTGGTCATGTTGCGGTTGTTGTTGTTATCCATTATTGTCTTTGTTGGTTTCTACTTTTTGGTGTCCTGTTATGTAATCTGTTGCTATGTGCTTGTTCTGTTTGTCCATGTACAGCACTTTGGTGTGCTTTGTCACTGTTTAAAGTGCTTTATAAATAAATTGGTATTGGTAATACAGGCCTCTAACTGTTCAATCGTCTTGGGCCTTCTTTGTCGCACCTTCCTCTTTATGATGCGCCAAATGTTCTCTATAGGTGAAAGACCTGGACTGCAGGCTGGCCATTTCAGTACCCGGATCCTTCTCCTACGTAGCCATGATGTTGTGATTGCTGCAGAGTGTGGTCTGGCATTATCGTGTTGAAAAATGCAGGGTCTTCCCTGAAAGAGATGACGTCTAGATGGGAGCATATGTTGTTCTAGAACCTGAACATAGTTCTCTGCATTAATGGTGCCTTTCCAGACATGCAAGCTGCCCATGCCACAAGCGCTCATGCAACCCCATACCATCAGTGATGCAGGCTTCTGAACGGAGCGTTGATAACAACTTGGGCTATCCTTGTCCTCTCTGGTCCGGATGACATGGCGTCCCAGTGTTCCATAAAGAACTTCAAATCGTGACTCATCAGACACAGAACAGTCTTCCATTTTGCCACACTCCATTTTAAATGACCCCTGGACCAGTGCAAACGTCTGAGCTTGTGGAGCTTGCTTAGAAATGGCTTCCTCTTTGCACTGTAGAGTTTCAGCTGGCAACGGCGGATGGCACGGTGGATTGTGTTCACTGACAATGCTTTCTGGAAGTATTCCTGAGCCCATTCTGTTATTTCCTTGACAGTGGCATTCCTGTTTGAGGTGCAGTGACGTTTAAGGGCCCGGAGATCACGAGCATCCAGTAGAGTTTTACGGCCTTGACCCTTACGCACAGTGATTGTTCCAGATTCTCTGAATCTTTTGATGATATGCACGGTTGATGATAACTTAAAACTCTGCTATTTTACGCTGGGTAATGCCATTCTGGTATTGCTGCACTATCTTTCTGCGCAACAATGATGGAATTGGTGATCCTCTTACCATCTTGGCTTCTGAGAGACACTGACACTCTGAGAAGCTCTTTTTATACCCAATCATGTTGTCAATTGACCTAATTAGTGTTAATTGGTCTTCCAGCTGTTGTTAAATGCTCAATTTCCTTTTTCCAGCCACTTATTGCTACTTGTCTCAACTTTTTTTGGGATTTGTTGACACTGTGAAATTTTGAATCAACATATTTTTCCTTTAAAATGTTACATTTACTCAGATTAAACTTTTGAGCGGTCATCTATGTTATATTACGAATAAAATATTGACATTTGCCATCTCCACATCATTGCATTCAGTTTTTATTCACAATTTGTTTAGTGTCCCAACTTTTTTGGAATCCGGTTTGTAGACTGAGAAACTGTTTAAAGGCCTTTGCAAGTGTTTTGAGTTAATCAGCTGATCAGAGTGTGGCACCAGGTCTCTTCAATATTGAACATTTTCACAATATTCTAATTTTCTGAGATACTGAATTTGGAGTTTTCATTAGTTGTCAGTTATAATTATCAACATTAAAATAAATAAACATTTGAAATATATCAGTCTGTGTGTAATGAATGAATATAATATACAAGTTTCACTTTTTGAATGGAATTACTGAAGAGGACAGAGTGAGATGGAGTGGGATGACTCACTGTGGAGACCATGAAGAGGGAAAAGCTGAAAGAAGAAGAAGAGGAGTACCAACTGAAAAGGAAAGATTGAGTTTGTTCAAATTACAGCCTGTTTGTTACGATCATCCATCTCTCCCTCCATTCATTCTGGAGCTTGCTCCACTACCACATCTTGAGGTGTTCAGCTGTGTATCTCCAGTGGTTCAAAGTAGAGTGAATGATTTGAGCTGGAGCAAATTTTGCACACTACTGTAAAACACAACAAAACCTAGAAAAAAATGGCTAAATAATAATACTACCGGTAACAATAATCATTCTTCTGACAACTTTGAATTAATTGTTTGGGTTCACTGCTTCGATCCTTCCTGGTTATCACAAAAGTGCAAAGTCCTCAGCAGGGGTGGTTTTGTGAATAAAATGTCACCCCCGAAACTAAATTAAATCCAGGAGGAAAAAATAAACAATCGAAAAAAACAAAACAAGCAAAGCCTTAAAATGAACCCTAAACCCAACAGTCCACACACAACTCACCGTGTCGTTGGCTGGCGTGGAAAGGATCCCAAACAGGCTGGAGACACGCCGGCCGATGCCAGACAGCATCCCCTGACCCTGCTGCAGGGCTCGACACTGCAGCTTTCCTGCAGAATCTGCACACACTCTCAGCAGCTGATTCTTGACAGATGACAAGACAAAGCTGTCGCCCTGAAAGAGAAAAGACAAAAAGAGAAAGGAACATCAGAAGACAACAGGAGCGAGAATGAGCATCCAAAGCAGGAAATTTGAAATACTTTTTGTTCCTGATCATTTGTGATTATTCACAATAAGAGTTATAAACTTGTGCATTTACTAGTAATTAAGTTGCTGTTATCTCTAACAGCATGACAATGAATGATGCCTTCTTAAGATCTACCTACTCTGACAGCAACTACAAAGTTACAGAGGTCGCCAAGGTCCACGTCTGACTCTGTGTAGTTGCCCTCATGAGCCAGGCTCGGCCAGAAGCGAGCCGCTCCCTCTGCAGCCACCACCAGTACAGAGACGGACTGAACAGCAGCCATCTCCAGTGGAACGGACGACGTCATAGCGATGAGATCAGCTGTGTAGTTATAGTCACTGCTGGGCAGCTGAAGCTCCTTACACACAGAGAGCTGCACGGACACAAAGACTTGTAGTAAAAACATGTTTTACTCACATTTGAGAAGCTGCAACCAGCTTCATATACATGTTTATGCTGGCTCGTACTTTATACCTTAGCTACAGCAGTCTGGCAGATCTTCCAGATGATGAGTCTCTCTCCACAAACCATCCAGGCCCAGCCGCTCTCGTCCACCTTCACTGAGATCTGGTCATCATCTACACATACACAAACACCTGCTCAGTGACAGCACAAGTCAAGAGTTTGCTCGCTGTGGCGACCCCTGAAGAAGGGAGCAGCTAGGCCTGTCACAATAACAAATTTTGTTGGCCGATTAATTGTCTCTGAAATTATTGTGATAAACGATAATATCGTTTGAAATTTGACAATAATTAGTCATTACTGTCAAATTTAAGAAGAAATGTTGGTTAATTTTTGTGTGTAGTACCTTTTTTTGACCACCGGATGCCAGTGTAAGACTGTTGGAACTGAAGGATGGATAGTGAGGGAGCGAGCAGCGTGTCTCTTTAAGAAATTTCAGTTTCGATGTGATCATCCCAAAAAGATGGAAGCATGGCAATACGTTTGGTGTGTCTGAGCTTGTTTGTTTGTAGTAATTTTAATAGTTTTTATTTCCTCTCTCTTTACTGTTTTAGTGTTTTTAAAAAAACTTTAAAACCTTTTCTTCTTTAAAAACTTAATAGAATTCACCCAAGTTATTTTTCACTGAAAGGCCTTGCCAGACTGGGCCCTGTTTTGTTCACCCTGGTCCACCGCCTGGGATTATTCTAGCTGCTTGAGGCCTACTCCATGCACCCTGCTCCACAGCTCGAGGATTACTCCATCCACTCTGGTTAGCAGCTTGAAGCCTACCAAAATCATCTGCTGTGTTCCACAGCCTGAAGACTACTTCATCCACCTTGTTTTACAATCCAAGGCCTATTCTACCAAGCTGTTCTGCAGCTCACGGCATCCACTCTGCGCTGCAGCATATTTCTGGTACTCTGTTTTGCTTTCACCTGAGGACTATTGTTACCTTATCGTGCACCATCCAGCTCCTGCTTAAATAAAGGACACATACATACAAACATAGAAGGATGTGGGGGAGGCCCCTTGACGTGACATGGGCTGTCTCTCCTTCCTGTTTTTCGATTCTCAAAATGGCGGACGCTCGGTGCGGTCTGAGCTCTGTAGCAAAGCATTTTTCAAACAAAGCTTTTAATAAATGAATATAAATCTGTAAACAGGTTCTCAGCTTCTTTTTTTCCTGAGAAAAACAACTTTTTAGACGAAGGCACAGGTTTCAACCGTGAATGTTGGAGCTTCGACAAGAAGGAGGTCCCCCCCCCGCCGAGGTCAGCCCGTTAGCTTAGCTCGTAGCTTAGCTTCATTTAGAAGAGAGGCAAAAAAACGATAAAGCCGATAAATGAAAACGAGGTCGATAATTTTCATTTATCATGCGACTGATAGTTTATCGCGACAGGCCTAAAAGCAGCTGAAAGAATCAAACGAGAGTCGAGGAGCTGCTCTCACCTTCAGCCACGGTCAGCGCCTCCATCACTTTGACCGGCAGAGACGACCCAAACGTCTGGACATCATAGTTGATGGTTTCTGCAGCTGTGTGGCTCTGAAGTCTGCTCGGTGTTGACCTAGTGAAAACAGATCACAGACTGAGTGGGCACATTTTTAGGACTTTGAATCAACGCTGGTGATTTGTAACGTGCTGCCTTCATCACCGGTAGAAACACGTTTATGCTTCATAAAGGATTTAATGCATGAATGATTTATTTATCACTGTTTTCATAAACAATGTTGTGAAAACATATTGGCACCCGTACACATTTCTTCAGATTGAGCTTTTTGATTTTACCACAATCAAATGTTTCAGATCAGCAAAGGTATTTTAACATGAGAACGAAAACCTGAGTAAACACCAACTGTCCAAATGATGCTTTTATTTATTAGTGTGTGTGTGTGTGGGGGGGGGGGGGGGGACAGCACCTATTCAAGTCTACCTGTCCATATATAAAGAAGTAATTGTCCCACTTGTTAATATGTCATGGATTTACTGTGATGTCTTTGGAAATCTGAGATCAGTTTCACGAGACACACCCAGGCCCGATTACTGTCAGACCTGTAGAATCTAAGAATCACTTCAACTGAGTCTTCTTCTTCTTCAGGGTCGTCACAGCAAGTCCTCCTCCTCCATCTCCGTCCTCTCTAACTCCATCCATATAGCTCCTCTTTGTCTTTTGAAGACGGTGCACGTTACGCACAGAAACGTGTCCAATCTCTACCCAGCGCACGCACACATCAGCAGGTGTCTGAACTCCTGCTACATTCCAGACACAATAAATAAAAAAAGCTTACTGTAAAAAATAAATTATAAATACAAAGATAGAGAAATGTTTGATGTTATTCACATTATGTCATGTTTCAACACAACAACGCTAATTTGTCCAAATAACAACAACGATAAAAAAAAATGGATGGATGGAGGAGAAGAGTTCAGAACCATGAAGTGTGTGTGTGTGTGTGGGGGGGGGGGGGGGGGGTAGGACACCTGACAGAATCAGAGCTACACAACCTGCTGTGCTTCTCCAAAACAGTAATTTTATTAAGTGTTTACAAATGTAAGTAAATGTAGATGGCATCTCTGTTATTCAAAATTTTCTGTGAGACGACACACACAGAGGTGTCCCCCCCGTTCCAGCATCAATCAGCTTACAAATTAAGCTCTGGTTAAACGTGGGTACTTTCGACTTTTACTCCACTACATTTTACATTAAGTATCTGTACTTTCTACTACACTACATTTCTATAATGCGTTGTGTTACAAATTACATTTACGTTGCATTTTTTTTTTGTTTTTGTTCGTTAGTTTGAAAGTAACCAACAGTGAGAGGAGAGCTGGTCCGTTGAATCACTGCAAAGAGGGCAGGTAGCGTTAGACCCACCTTCAAGAAGAACTGGGTCAATGACGTATATTTTAGTATATACATCACTGAGCTGGGTGCACCCGCAGCACCACTAACACACCCAAACTGGGTTCCACCACGGAGAGTCAGACAGAAGATACGTGCCACCCACAACAGGACAGATTCTCTCTCCCAAAAGAGCCAGACTGGACTCAAAAAACCTTGAAAACCAACTTTTTCTGAACTTGAACAAGAAATTCTTGCTGTAATATTAAAATGTGTCAGTTCATGGGATGTTAGGAGACGAGACATGTCTCCAGATGTCTCGACACTCAGGTCCAAGATTTAAAAATGGTGTCAGAAAGTTAAAATATTGTTCATTATTGACCCATTACAAGGTTGAATAGACATATTTTAACTAGAGTTGATGACAAACTGGAGTTGAAATGATCAGAGCCTGTTTCTTTGTGTCTAATGCTCCTTTTTTCATCAGACAACTTTTACTTAAATATGTTTACTGTAGTTAAAATGACATTGGTTTTGCTTTGTGTTACATAAAAACTTTCAAAGGTATAATCATTCCTCTTTCTTATTTTGATTAATATCATTTAACTCTGCAGGTCATCCCTGAAATTCTGACGCACAGAACCACAAGTCCAAGTTGAACTGTGTCACATGGTAAACACAATAAAAACATGTATTATCTGCAGCATCGTTCAGTAAAATGGCTCAACACTATTAATGTATTACAGAAAATATACATATGGTAGGCAGACTTAAAGATATGTAGACCATTGCATTAGGTAATACATTCAGCAAGTACTTTTACTTTTAATACTTTAAGTATTTTTAAAAGCAAGTACTTACTTTTACTTAAGTAAAAACGTTAATGTGGTACTTTTACTAGAATACATTTTGTCTGTTTATTTGTACTTTTACTTAAGTACAGTGTTTGAGTACTTTCTCCACCGCTGCAAACAATGGATAAGTTCAAGAGAAACATCAAACATGTTCCTGTTTTTAGTATTTTTCCTTGTAAAACCTTGATTTGATTTTATAACACTATTTTTATTGCATTTGCATTTGATTGCTGTTTGTTGTCTGAACCTCATCTGTGATCTTTGTCTAACCCAGGTCTCTCTTGTCTTGTAAAGGAGTCCTGGTGACTCAGTGAGACTAACCTATATAAATAAAACTTGGATTAATTAATCTCCTCAGCCTAAACTGGACCTGTAGTCCATGTTTTAAACAACTGGACCAGTATAAATGGCTGTTTGCGCACACGCTAAATTAAAAGCTAGCTTCATTAAACTGGATACACCCGCTTCGACACGAGCCGCAGATGTTTCCTTCACCTGGCCGACAGAGGAGTCCTGCGCGGGGAGAACAGAAGGCCGGGGGCCGCCGCGGAGACGCTCCTCCTCCCGGCGGTCCTGCTCTGCTGCCTGCGGCCGGGGCTCGGAGCGGTGCGGGGGCTAAACATGCCGGCGTTTCTACCAGAGCTACGAAACAGCCAATAAATATGTCCAGCTGTCACCGAGAGAGCAAAAGAACACAACCACGGAGTGCCTCCTCCAAACAGCGCGCGGTGCCGTCGCTTGAATAAAACGTCAGAGACAGAGTTAACTTTATTAACAACGTGAACGCTTTACAACACAGCGCCCTCTAGTGGCTGCAAAGGAGTGAGCACATTTTTAGACCAACTTTGTGCAGGTTTGTCGCCCCCTACAGGGTATCTTGAGGATTACAGTCTTCTCCAGGTCCACTAAACACGACTGGAGAGGAAAACTCCCACGAGGAGAGTTGAAAATATAAAAGTTTAACATAATAGATCTGCGACATAAGTTGGGAAGCAAACATATATAGATTATAATTAGATATTTTAAGAAAACAAAATGGATTAATAAAATTTGATTAGTTTATTTACATACACATGTAGCAATGAACGGGCAGCACGGTGGCGCAACTGGTAGAGTTGCTGCCTCTCAGCGAGCAGGTCCTTGGTTCAAACCCCGGTCCAGGGGCCTTTCTGGGTGGAGTTTGCATGTTCTCTCCGTGCATGCGTGGGTTTTCTCCGGGTACTCCGGTTTCCTCCCACAGTCCAAAAACATGCATGTTAGGCTGATTGGTAACTCTAAATTGTCCCTAGGTGTGAGTGAGAGAGTGAACGGTTGTTTGTCTCTATGTGTCCCTGTGATGGACTTGCGACCCGTCCAGGGTGTCCCCCGCCCCTCGCACAGTGATTGCTGGACATGGGCACCGGCGACCCCCGTGACCCAAAATGGAATAAGCGGGTAAAGAAAATGGATGGATGGATGTAGCGATGAACACAAATGGTTGGAACCGCCTTCAGTCTCACACGGCCCGACTGTCTCTCTCTCTCTCCAAATGTGCCTGTAGAGTGACAGTAGTTTATTTTCTTGCACATTTCTTTGACAGTTAAACATTTTGAGCCCTGATTGAAAATGTTTGTGTGCTGATTTAACTTACAGCACTCAGTTTGGTGTTGTTGTGATGATGGTGATGGTGCTCCTGCTGATGATGTCATTAATAAACCGTATAAATAGTAGTAAAAGTACTTTATTAACATGGACGAAAGGAATATTTCATCCAACGACAAAGAGGAAATACTTGGAGCAATAAAGAGCTTAAAGTCAGAGTTGTCCGGAAGATTCGATGGCGTTATGACAGCCATAGAAACAGCACGAAAAGAAGTGGGTGAGTGTGCCAAACGTTTAACGCATGCAGAGGAAGGTTTATCTACAATGGAAGACGAACAAACGGTGTTAATTAATAAAGTTAAGAGCTTGGAAAAAACAAACAAGCTAATGGAAGAAAAAGTGGTTGACATGGAGCTGAGATCTCGGCTCAGCAACCTTAGATAGGTGAACCTCCCTGAAGGTGCTGAGGGCTCCGATGCCTGTGGGTTTTTGGAAAGTTGGACATCAGAAGTATTGGATTAGTCTGCTCTGAGAAACCCACTGATTCTTGAAAGAGCTCATCGCGTAGGCCCAAAAAGAAACGCAGGAGCACCCCCAAGAACTGTAATTATGAGGTTTCTTAATTATAAACAAAAAGATATGGTATTCAAAGCAACTAAAGAAAAGATGGACATCCTCTACAAGAACCAACGGGTGAGATTCTACAATGACGTCGCTACGGAGATACACAAACAATATGATGGAGTCTGCAAGCAGCTCCGCGAGCTCGGGCTGAGACATGACATCATCCCTCCGGCTAAACTGGTGCTGACGTAACAAGAGGAAACTTTCAAGTTCAACACGCCAGCGGAGGTCCAAACGTTCATCGTAGGATTCAAAAGGGGCAGATAAGAGCAATGGAGTGACTGAATAGATTAAGAACTGATGGAGCGTAATCTCAGTGCATTTCTTTGCTAAATATATAGTTTAATCATTAGGTTCATAATATTTAACTGGGAATAGCTCCAAACTGTACTCTTTGTTAAATATAATTTAAACTTATTGGTTCACTGTTGTATAAAATTATTCTATATTTGTTGTGCATATTAGAAAACACTTTGTAGGTAGAGAGATAACCAGATTGTTTGAATAGCAGGAGAAGGTCGGGTGTGGTCATTTTTGTTTGTTAATTGAGGTTTAAGGTCAGGGGAGTAGATCATAAGGATCTACACAGAACAGTGGTTGGAAGTAGTAGGTTGGGAGGGCCCGACCATTTGGTTGGGAACGGGGTTTTGTTTTTTCAAACGGTTCAGGGATCGAGTGTTGGGATGAATGTTCAGTTATTTTGTTGGCCCTCTTGGATATATTTGAAGCACTGTCACATCTGTGTTTTTTGAATAATGATGCAGGAGATGGTAACTAAATGTACATCCTGGAATTGCAGAGGCTTACATAAAACCAAAAAAATCAAACAGGTCATGAACAAGCTGAAAGATGTGAACTCTAAAGTAGTATTTTTACAAGAGACCCACCTCTTAGAAGAAGAAAATATAAAACTACGTAGGAGATGGCAGGGGGGTATTTATATACTTCCTCTTTTACATCAAGATCCAGGAGAGTAATGACCCTAATTCATGAATCTGTTCCTTTTCAAGTCACCAATGTTATTAAGGATAAATTTGGGAGATATCTGATTATTCAGGGGTCCATCTTACAAGAAACTCTGAATTTAGTTCATGTATATGGTCCTAACACTGATGACGACAATTTCTTCACAGATCTTTTTCTTACCCTTTCATCTCTGACAGGAAATTACTTTATAGGCGGTGACTGGAACCGTGTTCTGGACCCCACTCCGGATAGAGCTTCAGGAGCTGATCAGACACACACCAGAAGTACGGAAACAATCCGTGAGTTTATGAAAGAATTAAATACAGTAGACATCTGGAGACATTTACAAACAACTGAAATAATCTATTCATGCCACTCAAGTGCATCTAGAACCTACTCGCGTTTAGATTATTTTTTAATTTCAAGGGAATTGCTCTCAAACATAAAAGACTGTTCCTATGATAGTCAGAGAGCCAGAGTTTCTTTATTGTCATTCGCACCTCAGGTGGTACATGTGGTGGAGCGAAATTATGAACACGGGGTCCCAGTTACATCCAACAATAAAATGTATAAGAAAAACAGTAATAACATCTAAGATATGAACTAAGAAAAACATCAACTAAATATACACTAAGCACTCATAACATAAAACATTGAACATCAGCACAAACATGAACATGAGTCTGTGAGCAGATGTGCACGCATGAACACATCAACATGAAACAGATCAGCAGCAACATGAAACAGATCAGCAGCAACATGAAAAAGATCAGCAGCAACATGAAACAGATCAGCAGCAACATGAAACAGATCAGCAGCAACATGATATGGTTTTTCACAGTGATTATTCTGGTTAGAGATTCATGAGTCTAGCAGCCTCAGGGTAGAAGCTGTTCCTCAGTCTAGTGGTTCTACACTTAATGCTCCTCAACCTCCTTCTTGAGGGGAGTGGGGCAAAAAGTGTGTGTGCTGGGTGAGTGGGGTCCTTCATGATGCAGGTGGCCCTCTTCCTGCATCTGGAGGTGTAGATGTCTGTGATGGTGGGGAGGCTGACTCCAACATCTTCTGTGCAGCCTTCACCACTCTCTGCAAAGCTTTTCTTTCTGCAGCTGTGCAGCCTCCATGCCACACATTGATGCTGGAGCACAGGATGCTCTCCACTGCACACCTGTAGAAGGAGGTGAGGACTGAGCTTCCCAGACCAGTTCGCCTCAGCCGTCTGAGGAAGTAGAGTCTCTGATGAGCTTTCTTGATCAGGCTGGTGGTGTTGTTGCTCCAGCTGAGGTTGTTGTTCATGTGTTCACCCAAGTACTTGTAGCTGGAGACCACTTCCACCGCAGATCCTCTTATGTTCAGGGGGGTGTAGGTGTTTTTGTTCCTTCTGAAGTCCACAATCATCTCCTTTGTCTTCTTCACATTGATGTGAAGGTTATTCTCTCTGCACCAGCTCTCCAGGTGTTCCACCTCTTGCCTGTAGCTGGACTCATCATTGTTTGTGATGCATCCCACCACCGCTGTACCATCTGCAAACTTTACAATGTGCAGCCTGGATGGGTAGCTGCACAATCATACGTGAGCAGAGTAAACAGGCGGGGGCTCAACACACATCCCTGAGGAGAGCCAGTGCTGAGGGTTATGGTGGAGGAGGAGAGGTTGTGGATCCTCACTAACTGTGGTCTGTTTGTTAAGAAGTCTAGTACCCAGTTGCAGATGGAGGGGCTTAGTCCTAGTGTGGATAGTTTGTCCATCAGGGTTTGGGGGATCATGGTGTTGAAGGCGGATGTGAAGTCCACAAAGAGCATACGGACGTAAGAGTTTTTCTGCTCCAGGTGGTTGAGCGCAGTGTGGACCACAGAGGAGATTGCATCCTCTGTTGATCGGTTCTCACGGTATGCGTACTGATGAGGGTCCTCGTTGATGTTGATGGTTGTTTTGATGTGAGTCATGACCAGTTTTTCGAAGCATTTAGCGACTATCGGGGTGAGGGCCACTGGCCGATAGTCATTCAGACCAGTCACTGTAGAGCTTTTTGGGACTGGGATGATGGTGGCAGTCTTCAGGCAGGTGGGAACTGTCTCCAGGGTAAGTGAGGTGTTAAAGATGTCTGCCAGCACCTCACAGAGCTGATCAGCACATTCCTTCAACACTTTTCCGGGGATGTTGTCTGGGCCAGTTGCTTTGTGCGGATTAATCCTCCTGAAGGTACTCCTTACTTCTGCTGAGGTCACGCTGAGATGCTCTTCATCCGGTGGTGAGGTGAGTCTGGTGCTGGGTGGTCTGTTCGGGTCTTCAAAGCGTGCATAGAACTTGTTGAGGGCATCAGGCAGAGATGGGTCTTTGGGGCATTGTTCACTCCTTCCTTTATAATCTGTTATGCACTTAATGCCCCTCCACATGCTCCGAGGGTCTTGTGAGATGAATTGACCCTCGATCCTCTGTGCATATGTGGCCTTGGCCCTCTTAATACCAGCAACCAGCTCTTTTCTTGTCCTACTCAGCTCCTCTGAGTTTCCAGAACTGAAGGCAGTGTTCCTGGCTTCAGCCAAGGTTTTCTGTTTGGGTAGCTTTTAACATTTCTGATAGGGGAGACGGTGTCAGTACATGTACTATGTAACCCAGAACTGAGGATGTGTATTGGTCCAGATCAAGCGATAGCAAAGTATTATCAGATCATGCTCATTGCAGTTTAATATATTACAACAACAAGCTGTTGAAAGAGCCACCCAGATGGTGCCTGCATCAGAAATGGCTGAAAAACAATACATTTCTTTAATACCTTGGAGAAAAGATAGAAGTATTTTTTAGTATGAATACTACACAAACTACAGCCTGTGTATGGTGGGATGCCTTTAAGACATGCATAAGGGGTTATATAATTAGTTACACCTCATCAAAATCAAAAGAACAGCGTAAAAGCAGACAAGAATTGGAAATTAAAATGTAAGAATTAGAACAACAGATTTTTAGAGATACAACGCAGAATCTGAGAAAAATTACTGTTGTTAAAGGCGCAATATGAAAAATAATCTGCAGATACAGCTGTCTCCAGTTTACTCAGATTAAATCAGTCATTTTATGAAAAAGGTGAAAAACAGGGGAAGAGTTTGGCTTGGCAAATCAAACAGTTGGAAGTTCAAAAAAACTTAACATCTATCGTTGATAATAAAGGGGACACGTTAGTAGATCCAATCAAAATAAATGAAGAATTTAGGAAATATTATGAAAGGCTGTATGACTCTCAAGACACGTCTGACATACAGGAGCATGACTCATTTCTGAATAATCCAGACATCCCCTCAATAGATGAAGGTTGTAGAGAACAGTTGGAAGCTGACATTACAGAAGAGGAGACAGGTCGTGCTACTGATTGTATGGATGCAGGTAAAAAGCGGGGCCGGATGGATTCCCCAGCATTGACTTTTATAAAAAGTTTAAAAAACAACTAATAAAACCTATTTTAGAGCTGTTTCAGGAGGCATTTTGCAGTGGAGGGCTTCCTAAATCAATGACAGGTGCTTTAATTTTCGTGCTACCCAAAGCAGGGAAGCTCAGCATTAAATGTGAAAGCATGAGGCCAATAAGTTTACTTAACGCTGACCTAAAAATACTCTGTACACCACTAGCATTACGTTTGCAAGACTCACTTCCTTCAGTGATACACAGAGATCAAAATACTTGGTTTTAGGACCAGGGTCTACACAATGTGAGGAGGGTTTTAAACATTATTCATGGACTAGGGGCTAAATCCAGAACTGCATTTCTTTCATTAGATGCAGAGAAGACATTCGACCGGGTCGAATGGCTCTATCTGTTTAACATCTTAAATCGTTTTGGTTATGGAAATAATTTTATAAATTGGATACATCTACTATATTTAAATCCTACTGCAGAAATATTAACAAATAAAAATGTGTCTAAACCAATTGTTATTAATCGAGGATGTTGTCAGGGATGTTCTTTTGTCCCCTTCGTTGTTCACCTTACTCACTGCTCACTGCTTTTTATTCATTCTTCAGTTATTATTATTAATGTATTGTGTATATATATATATATATATTCTCTTTAATTTTACTCTCATTGATTGTTGTTGTTGTTGTTGTTGTTAAGCACTTTGATAACAGGTTCTGTTTTAAATGTGCTCTATAAATAAAGTTGACTTGACTTAGCATTGGAACCTCTCGTCGTAGCTGTAAGGTCCCACCAATCTATAACAGGCATTACAGTTAGACAAGTATAGTACAAACTTTCATTATATGCAGATGACATAATCCTTTTTATCTCAAATTTCTAAAAATCCGTTCCAGCTTTGCTTGACTTAATTCAAAAATATGGTAATATTTCAGGGTATAATATATTACAATATTTATACATTTCTTTACATTTTATTTAAATATACATTATACCTGCAAAAACTTGAAAAGGAGAAAACAATCAATCGATTGTTGTATTTTAGATTGTACCCAGGGGAAGCCACTCCCTGTCTTTATGGACTTCCAAAAATCCACAAAGAAGGAACACCACTCAGACCCATCGTCAGCAGCATGAACTCAGTGACATATAATATTGCTAAACATCTGGCTGGTATTTTAGCTTCTCTTGTTGGAAACACACCTCATCACATAAAGAACTCCATTGATTTTGATGACAAAGTTCAACAGTTGAACCTAAACTCAGGAGAAACCCTTGTATCGTATGATGTGACTTCTCTTTTCACATGCATACCCATCTCTGAAGCAGTAGGAAGTGGAACAGAGAGCCCTAAACTCCTTTGAGGGAACAACGCCAAGCCATTGGTTCCGTTAATACAAGCTAAGGAAATAGAAGCGTTCACCAGACACATTAACTCGGTCGATAACATCAAGTTCACCAGAGAAGATGCAAACGACAACAAACTGCCTTTTTTGGACTGTTTGGTTCAGATGGAGAGAGAGGACAGCCTCAACATTGAAGTTTACAGAAAACCAACCCACACAGACCAGTATCTTCTGTTTGACTCCCACCATCCACTGGAACACAAACTCTCTGTCATCCGAACTTTACAACATCGGACCGAACGCGTCCCCACAAAGACAGAAGGGAAGGAAAAGGAACAGAACCACATTCAAGAAGCTCTTCAAACATGTGGATATCCTAACTGGGCTTTTGTCAAGTCAGCGAGGAAATCCACAAAACACACCAATAAACAGAAAAAGGAGAACAACAGACGTAAAAACATTGTCATCCCTTATGTTGCTGGAGTATCAGAGAAATTCAGAAGGATCTTCAACAAACACAAGATCCCAGTACATTTCAAACCCAGCAGGACTCTCAGACAGAGGCTGGTCCACCCTAAGGACAGAACACCCATACACAAACAGAGTGGTGTAGTGTCTGTTGATCTCAGTGCGGCATTTGACACTATTTCTCATGATATCCTCCTGACCAGACTAGCATCCATTGGTATCAGTCATATTCCACTTGCTTGGTTTAATTCATATCTTTCAGGCCACACTCAGTTTATTCAATTTAAAACCCATTCCTCAAGTTTGTTTCCTGTTGCTGCAGGTATGCCCCAGGGTTCTGTATTAGGGCCCCTTTTATTTATTATTTATATGCTCCCTCTTGGCCACATATTCCGGAAACATAATGTCAATTTTCACTGTTACGCAGATGACACCCAGCTCTACATTTCCTCAAAACCCAATTCATCTCTTCCACCTTCCTCCCTATCGGACTGTCTTATGGAAATTAGATCATGGTTTTCCTCAAATTTTCTTAAACTCAACAGTAAGAAAACAGAAGTTTTACTTGTTGGCACAGTCGCCACTTTAACCAAATCGCAGAGTTTTTCCATCAATATTGACAACTCCCATGTTCATCCTTCCCCTCAGGTAAAAATTCTGGGTGTCATACTTGATAATACGCTTTCATTTCAATCTCATATTAACTCTATCACCCGGTCTGCATACTTCCATTTACGTAACATCAACCGACTTCGTCCTTTTCTTACTCCTCACGCTGCTGCCATCCTTGTCCATAGCCTTATCACCTCCAGGATTGATTATTGCAACTCTCTTCTTTTTGGTCTCCCGAATAAGACTCTCCATAAACTCAAACTCCTCCAGAATTCTGCAGCTCGGGTCATAACTTGTACCCCATTCAGAGAACACATCACCCCGGTTCTGCAGCAGCTTCACTGGTTGCCCATAGAAGCTAGAATAAATTTTAAAATCTTAACTCTCACGTTCAAGTGCATCCATAACCTTGCCCCTCCTTACCTGTGTGATCTGCTTCACATCTCCACTGCTTCCCGTCCCCTCAGATCCTCATCTGCCACTCATTTTATTGTTCCTTCTGCCCGTCTCGTCACCATGGGGAACAGAGCCTTCAGTTGCTGTGCTCCTCAGCTCTGGAACTCCCTCCCTCCTGTCATCAGGACCACAGACTCTCCTTCTTTTAAATCACAACTGAAAACACACCTGTTTAAGCAGGCATATTCTCTTTAACTTTGTTTTAACTGTTGTTTTATTGTGACTTATTTTTAATTATTTGTTGATTATGTTTTTATTAATTGCTGATTTTAATTGTTTTTGTACGGTGACCTTGGGTTTTTGAAAGGCGCCCTGAAATAAAATTTATTATTATTATTATTATTATTATTATTATTATGTGGTCCAGTGCAGCGAGGACTGTCCAGACCTCTACATTGGAGAAACTAAACACTTCACAGACGCATGGCTCAACACAGGAGAGCCACCTCCTCAGGACAAGATTCAGCTGTTCACCTCCACCTCACGGATAAGAGACACTCATTTGAGGACCAAAATGTGCACATTTTGGGCCGAGAACACTGATACTTTGAGAGGGGGGGTGAAGGAAGCAATTTGTTAAAAGAGAAAAACCATCTCTTAACAGAGGAGGAGGCCTCAGATTTCCACTTTCAAAAACATATAATGCAACTTTAAAACAGATTCTCAGCCGGTTTTCACACCTGATGGGAACAGAGGGGCCTCGTCTGTGAATTAGATGAACAAAGACCTTAAGAAACCCGAACTGTTAAGATGTGGAGGTGTGAATTGTCAAATCTACATACGTGTGTCTTATCTCACTCAGCCTTATAACCTGTATCTCTCACTCTCTGCTCTTTGAATTGAGAAATCTCCTCGGATGAGGAGAGAAACGTCTTCTGTTACAAATAAAGTCCAGTTGTTTTTGTGTTGAACGTTTTTTTGAACGACATCGTATCAATAATATATATGTTAGGATGAGTATATTTTGAGCCGCTTGCCTGTCTTTAGTTCTGGCGGTGGAGCGGCTGCTCCTCCCGGCCAGCAGGCGGCAGGAAACACTCGGAGCTGCTTCACCAGCAACAACCCACGAAGAAGAATGTGATGGAGCGGCAACGAAGAGCAGACGTTTAGCTAGTGACTGGGTGCAACTCGACCAGTTTAACAACACCATCTGACGGCTGGGACGTCCAACACGACATGCAGTGAGTAAGGATTTCATCCGGGGGGAGTTTCATAAATCCTGCTGACATTCCGAGCCTCCGGGCTAAAGTTAGCTTTAGCTCGGCGCAGACCACCCTCCATTCATGTCGAAACTTGACAGCTTTACTGTGGCCTCGGTGTGTTCAGGCCTATAAAGGAGTTGGTGTTCACATCGACAGCATGGGTGTCTGAGAAGTTTTTCCACGCTGCGTCACAGTCTGGTGAAAGACCCCAGTAACAGTCCAGAGAACCAGAGAGATGTTTCTGCACTTGGCAGATGGAGGCAGGCTCATGAAGTCTTGGCTCCCTGTCCCACCCGAACCATGTGTGACAGGATGTGGTTTGCATTCATCAGGTCATGAAACGGGTTCGCGCTGAGCAGATCCAACATGCTGTGGCTCAGTACCTGAAGAGGAGGCAGTACGTGGACACCGAGGGCTCCCTGAAGGGGGTCAGGCTCTCCCAGTCGGCTGAAGAGATGGCTGCCAGCTTGACAGGTGGGCCCCCTGTGAATGACCATGAACCCCACAGCCAGCCAGTGATATTCACGTGTTCCTGCTCTCTGTATAAGCAGCACAGGTGGAGTCGGGCTGTACCAACATCGTCTCTGCTGCTCCCTGCCAGTCCGACCCACAGCAATATGAGACCCAGTACTCCAGGCTGCGCTCCTTTCTCTCAGGTACAACATCCAAACCACCGTCATGTTTACTGTTTTACATAAGAAGGAATGATAAAAAATGACCTGGGGCCTCATGTACAAAGTGTGCACACACCAAAAAGTGGCATATGCCAAAGTTCAGATGCGCCAGTGAGTTGATGGTGAAAGTGTGCACAGCCCCGTGCTTAATTCAGAGCAGGTGTGCACGTTTCTAGGGGTTTTGGTTTGTTGGTGACACTTGGAGGGTAAGATGGGAAACTTGATGTGAAAACAGTTACTGGACCCACCCTGAGTAAGTTTCCCTGCTTCACCAGATATGTTGACCGTAAGGTCATATTGCAAAAGATGAGCGTCTTCGACTCATCGTGGTAACGGTTTGGATTAACTGTCCGAGCACTTGTTCTGTTCCCATTCATATCCCAGGTAGATGAATCACATTTAGATATCGTGATTCTGTTCGGAGCCGGAACGCTTGAAGCAACCGATAAAGTGTCAAATAACACGAAAAATATTATTCCACCCCTTAAGTGTGTCAGTATTTAGGTGTAACGGACTGTAAATTATTTATAATGACGTGTAAATTGTTTTAAATTAATTTCCAAATTGTGTTGTTTGTTTTGGTTGTTCATAAATATTGTGTTTTGAGTTCATGGTATTTGTAGTTTTCAACGAGTTTTGTTTATTTTGTACCTCACAGGATGCCATAGCCAATAAGGGCCATCCTTATTAAAGCTGGCAGCAATCAGTGCACTAATTAATGGATGAGAAATAACTGTCAGCAGGACTCGAACGTTTGATGCAACAAAGACAAATCCATGCTTTGCATTCCCCCGGTGAAATAGCCCAAGAATAAAATAAACATAAAACATCCAAACAAAGTAAAAACATTGCAGGGTGCACATCTCTACGCTGGTCTTGTCTGTCCGAAGGACTTTGTTCCAAATGTTTTGTGGATCTTTCAGGTAAAACTTTACAAACTTAAATCATTCTGCTGTGATGTTTTTAGAAAGAACAGGTTTTCTCCTACAACTTCCAAACAAGCCAGGGTTGTCCAGCCGTTTTATTGTTCTTCCATGACCAACTGCTAACTGGGACCTGTAGAGTTGGAGAGGGAGCTACTGGTTTTACATCTGAGCACTGCACAGTCTGACCTCAGGGTAATTTACCGTGACAACCATTGGTAGGAAGACTGGCAGCTGTCTTAAATCTTATTGTGACATGGAGATCAAATAGTGTGGAAATGACCTTTGACCCTTGCAAGCAGCAAGGCTGCACCAAGTCCAGACCTAAACCAGGCTGAAATGCTGTGATGGGACCTTACGAGAGCAACTCGTCTGCAAACCTTATTGAAGTGAAGCAACATTAAAAAATAACGGGCCAGAATTCCTAAACAGTAATGTGAGAGTCTGATAAAATCTCAGGAAACCTCTGCTGAGAGTTATTGATGCTGAAGGAGGTTCTACACGCTGCTGGGTCGGGGGAGGATTTAAAAAAAAAAAATTACGCAGTTTTTCATTTTGGCTTCGTTTTTTGTTGATATAATTTGTTGTTTTTTAAACATGAGGTTAGATTTAAATAATTTAAAAAAATTAAAAAAGGTCATATTTATCATCTGATAATGTAAAACCACAGGACTGCTTGTAAGGAGAATGTTTTCCCTCGTACTTGTAGCTGCTCCGGCACGTCTCAGGTGAAGATTACTGTGGGTTGTTCTGACATACGCCTGTCACGACAACACACTTTGCTGGGCGATTAATTGTCTCAGAAATTATTGTGATAAACGATAATATTGTTGGCAGCACGGTGGTGCAACTGGTAGAGCTGCTGCCTCTCGGCGAGCAGGTCCCTGGTTCAAATCCCGGTCCAGGGGCCTTTCTGGATGGAGTTTGCATGTTCTCTCCGTGCATGCATGGGTTTTCTCCGGGCACTCCGGTTTCCTCCCACAGACCAAAAACATGCATGTTAGGCTGATTGGTAACTCTAAATTGTCCCTAGGTGTGAGTGAGAGAGTGAATGGTTGTTTGTCTCGTTTGTCTCTATGTGGCCCTGTGATGGACTTGCAGGGTGTCCAGGGTGTCCCCCACCCCTCGCACAGTGATGGCTGGACATGGGCACCGGCGACCCCCGTGACCCAAAATGGAAGAAGCGGGTAAAAGATGATGGACGGATAATATTGTATGAAATTTGACAAACGTTGTCAGTGGAGAGCATGTACCGTAGTTCAGACACGTGTTACCTGAGCATTTAGAGAGTGGAATACAGTTTATTCCATTTCCAAAACCTAAACGGAGTCTAGAAAAATGTAAAAGATGATAAAACCCTGCAGCCGACCTCATGATCAGCTGATTACAACAGCTGTACAGGAAGTACCACATGTTTGTCTGTACGAAGGTAACTGCAGGTAAATCCTCCATTTTTTGTCGTAATTACATTTTATGGTTAAGTTGAAAGTTAATGCTTAAACCTAGTGGTGTAACGGTACATGTGGGTGTATTGAACCGTTTCGGTACGTCCGTGTTTGGTTCGGTCTACATGTGTGCTGTTTGGTTATTTTTTCACTCATTAAATTTTATTAACGAAAGATTATGCACCGCGGAACTAAAGTTCCTAAGCGTGTTTCAGCACGGTGCTATTATCTTGCAGCACGAGTAGCATTATCAGCCCAGCAGGCAACGAACAAGAGCTTGAAGACCCTTTCATCTCGTTGTGGTCTCCTGTTTGGAAACATTGTGGCTTTCTTGTTAAAACTCAACAATGGGAAAAGGCACGTGAACAAATCCAAAGCTGTGAGTCGACGTTGTTTCACAGAGATTGGATCTGCTGCAGACGACACGTCTAACTCGTTAACGCACTGGAAACATCATCGTCTGAACGTGAACGTAGCGTGATGCAAAGAGCGATAGCTGCATTTAAACAACCTTTATCAGGTCATTCAGATCGGTCCAGAGCAATAACACAAGCTGTAGGAGTTTTTAATCTCTGGATCTACGTCCGAATGTTGTTGATGCACCGGCTTTAAGCATATGATTAAAGTTCTTGAGCTCCGCTACGACATCCCATCACGTCAACACTTCAGCCAAAAAGTTGTACTTTATGAAAAAGCTAAAACTGATCCGTCAACAAGCCCGAACCCAGATTAAAGCCCTGCCCTGATGATGATAAACGAGAGAGAATATTCAACCACCTCATAACAGAAACGATGACCGTGCAAGAAGAGGTATTATTATGATTTAATTAACTTTTTTAATTTAAAATTATAATCTTATTAACTCGATTTTTTTTAACCTCTTTGTGTTTGCAGTCTGAGGATGTCAATGAAGATAGCTGAGTTTTCCTCTTCAGGGAATTTTTTTATTTATTTTTATACAAATGTATTGTTTACTCGGCATATTTTCTAAATAAACATTTTATAAGTCTTTATTTTGGCCTTTTTTTTTTTACCGTGAATTAACCGAAACGAGCCCTCCTTGAAATTTAAACAAACCGAAATATGATTTTAGTGTACCGTTACACCCCTAATAATTAGTAATTATTGTCAAATTTAAGAAGAAATGTTGGTAAATTTGTGTGTAGTACCTGTTTTGACCACTGAATGGCAGTATAAGACTTTAAACCAAAGGATGAATGGTGAGGGAGCGAGCAGCGTGTATCTTAAAGAAAAATGGGAGGGAGGCCCCTTGACGTGACATGGGCTGTCTCGTTCCTGTTTTTTGATTCTCAAAATGGCGGACGCTCTGTGTGGTTTGAGCTCTTTAGCATTTTTCACACAAATCTTTTAATAAAAATCAGTAAACAAGTTCTCAGCTTCTTTTGCAGAGAAAAACAACTTTTTCGACGAAGGCACGGGTTTCAACCGTGACTTTTGGAGCTTCGACAAGACTACTTTAATTTTTATTTATCATGTGATTAATTGATTTAGTTTTGACATTATTTTTCTCTCATCAACAGAAACGGAGTTATCCTGGGCCCAGGAGGTGAGCAGCCTCCTCTATCCAATCTTTGTCTACCTTCACCTGGACATGGTGCGCTGCTGCCTGAAGGGAGCCGTGGATAGTTTTTACAGTCGTTTTCATGACGCCTTCCTTCAGGACAGTGAACAGCGAGCTGTTGTGGAGCAGCTCCGCCATGTTCTCACTGCACAGGATGTTGCAGCCAATGCCAAGCTGAGAGCGTTCCTTGAGCACAAGTACGTGGTTCATCTGACCGAGCCGACCTATAGCTACCTGCTGCGGTACCTGCAGAGTGAGGACAACAGCACCCTCTGCAGGGTTCTCGGCACACACGTGCAGGTGGAGGTCACTGCTTCCAAACGTACAGATTACCAACTGTATGGAGCCACTGCTGGGTCCACAACAGCCCCAAATTCCACATCCTCCTGGGCAGGTGTGGATGGAGCAGAGGGTGGGGAGGGGATGGAGGTCCCTGCAGGGATCCCGCAGAGCGAGGCTGCCCTCGATGCACTTCAGGATTGCATTAAGAAAGTCCGAGAGGGCCCGCCCTCGCTCACCACAGTCTGTTTTTATGCCTTCCATCACACGGAGCAGACGCTGAACACGGCTGAGGTCTCGCCTGACAGCCGGCTGTTGGCTGCAGGCTTTGACAGCTCTACAGTGAAGCTGTGGAGCCTCAGAGCTCGAAAACTGAAGGCCAAATCCCACCAGGCTGATGTGTCGCACATCCACCTGGCATGTGATATACTGACGGAGGAGGTGAGTAGTCAACCGTATGGTTTTCTTCTTTTCCCTTTAAAACACCTGATCTGGAAGTAGCAATACACCTTGATGCTGGTATTTCCAGATAAAGACTATCTGCTGCATACATTTTAATTGACCGATACCGAACTGTCCACTTCAGAACCTGCACTTGGCTGTGCCTGTGCATACTTAATCAGTTGCCAAGTAGGAAAATTAAGATGCAGCAGAAGCAACAGTTGGAATCGGCTCACTGCAGATTTTAGTTTTTTAAAACAAGAATGCTCCTTTTTGTTTTATTTGTAAGTGTACAAGTTCTTCTAAGGGTTGATTTAATATGAACACATTTACATAAAGTTGTAATTGTTGACACCAATTTGTATTTCTGTTTTGTCAATATTTTTTATTTAACAAAATATTAAAATAGTTGATTAATCTAACTGAACATACAGGTGTTGGTCATAAAAGCAGACGGCCGCTTGTCCTGAGCCTGGTTCTGCTGGAGGGTTCTTCCTGTTAAAGGGAGTTTAAAAGTTTTTAAACTTCTTTTTAAAAGTGCCCTGAGACAACTTTGTTGTGATTTGGCGTTTTATAAATAAACTGAACTGAATAAAATAAGAATTTCTTGAAAAAGTTGATTTCAGTAATTCCATTCAAAAAGTGAAACTTGTATATTATATTTATTCATTACACACAGACTGATATACTTTAAATGTTTATTTCTTTTAATGTGGATGATTATAACCGACAACTAATGAAAACCCCAAATTCAGTATCTCAGAAAATTAGAAAATTACTTAAGACCAAAAAAAAAAGTATTTTTAGAAATGTTGGCCAACTGAAAAAACTTGTGCAGGTGTCAAGTTCTGTTGGAAAATGAAATCTGCATCTCCATAAAGTTGGTCAGCAGCAGGAAGCATGAAGTCTCTAAAACCCTCACTGACTGTGGAAACTTGACACTGGACCTCAAGCAACATGGATCCTGTGCTTCTCCTCTTCCTCCAGACTCTGGGACCTTGATTTACAAAGGAAATGCAAAATTTACTTCATCAAAGAACATAACTTTGGACCACCCAGCAGCAGTCCCAGGACGAGACGCTTCTGACACGTCTCTTGTTCAAGAGTGGCTTGACACAAGGAATGCAACAGCTGAACCCCATGTCTTGCATACGTCTGTGCGTGGTGGTTCTTGAAGCACTGACTCCAGCTGCAGTCCACTCTTTTGTGAATCTCCTCCACATTTTGGAATGGGTTTTGTTTCACCATCCTCTCCATGGAGTGGTTATCCCTATTGCTTGTACACTTTTTTTCTACCACATCGTTTCCTTCCCTTCGTCTCTCTGTTAATGTGCTTGGACACAGAGCTCTGTGAACAGCCAGCCTCTTTAGCAATGACCTTTTGTGTCTTGCTGTCCTTGTGCAAGGTGTCAATGGTCGTCTTTTGGACAAGTGTCAAGTCAGCAGTCTTCCCCATGATTGTGTAGCTACAGAACTAGACTGAGACCATTTAAAGGCCTTTGCAGGTGTTTTGAGTTAATCAGCTGATCAGAGTGTGGCACCAGGTGTCTTCAATATTCAACCTTTTCACAATATTCTAATTTTATGAGAAACTGAATTTGGGGTTTTCATTAGTTGTCAGTTATAATCATCAACATTAAAAGAAATAAACATTTGAAATATGTCTGTGTGTAATGAATGAATATAATATACAAGTTTCACTTTTTTGAATGGAATTACTGAAATTAATCAACTTTTTCATGATATTCTAATTTTATGACCAGCACCTGTATTTTAACAACCCTTAATTTAACATCAACACTTAAAAATAATATATAAAGTGCATTGTCAGTCTCGGAGCACAACAACAGCAGTTTAACATAATTCCCGATCCCCACTTGATCCCTCTAATGAAATCTGACTGAGACCGGATGAAGGTGTCTCAGACACAGCTGGAAGTGTTTTGTGAAGATGACTAATAAATAATAACTATTACATGATCAGTGAATCTAACTTTGTCAAAAAATATTTTAAGGAGTTTTGTAGCATCTTATCAATGTAGTGTCATTTCAGAGTCATAGTTTCTTTATTGTCGTTCCACCACATGTGGAACATGTGGTGGAACAAGATTATGTTCACAGGGTCCCAGTTACAACCAACAATAAAATGTAAAAGAAAAACAGTAATAACATCTAAGATATGAATTAAGAAAAACATCAACCAAATATACACTAAGCACTCATAACATAAAACATTACGTCGAACAGCAGCACGAATATGAGTCTGTGTGAGCAGATGAGAACGAATGAACACAGCAACATGAAACGGATCAGCAGCAGCATGAAACAGATCAGCAGCAACATGAAACAGATCAGCAGCAGCAGCATGAAACAGATCAGCAGCAACATGAAACAGATCAGCAGCAACATGATATGGTTTTTCACAGTGATTATTCTGGTTAGAGATTCATGAGTCTAACAGCCTCAGGGTAGAAGTTGTTCCTCAGTCTAGTGGTTCTACACTTAATGCTCCTCAACCTCCTTCCTGAGGGGAGTGGGGCAAAAAGTGTGTGTGCTGGGTGGGTGGGGTCCTTCATGATGCAGGTGGCCCTCTTCCTGCATCTGGAGGTGTAGATGTCTGTGATGGTGGGGAGGCTGACTCCAACAGATTTCTGTGCAGCCTTCACCACTCTCTGCAAAACTTTTCTTTCTGCAGCTGTGCAGCCTCCATGCCACACGTTGATGCTGGAGCACAGGATGCTCTCCACTGCACACCTGTAGAAGGAGGTGAGGACTGAGCTTCCCAGACCAGCTCGTCTCAGCCGTCTGAGGAAGTAGAGTCTCTGATGAGCTTTCTTCATCAGGCTGGTGGTGTTGTTGCTCCAGCTGAGGTTGTTGTTCAGGTGCACACCCAAGTACTTGTAGCTGGAGACCACTTCCACAGTTGTTGGTCAACTTCCTAAATACATTTGTTAATTATAGCTAAACCAGTGACACCAGGAGATCTTCTAGATACATAAATTAGTTTAGTGTTTGGAGTAAGTTTGCAGCCATCTTTTCTTTGGCAGAATATTAAATATCTCCCTGCGTGTCTGAGCAATCAGAAAAAAATATTTAGGCGTACTTTCTTCTAATTTATGATGAGATAATTTCCTCCCTGCAATAATAAGGGTTGTAGCAGCAGCTAAGTGGTCAGTGTTGTGATCTTGTAAGCCTGAGGTTCGAGTCCAGGTTGTCAGGAAGGAAGTTTGGAATAAAACAATTGCCGTGTTTCATGTGAGTTCTCCTGCTGCGGTGACCTGTACAGGAAGGAGCAGCTGAAAGAACAACTCGCTGCGATCGTACAAATGGCAAACTAAAAAACTTTTGTGTAACAGAATTGAAATGGGGAAAAGTTTGAAGAGTAGTACTCTTTACTGAGGTGGTGCTGCAGAGGTTAGAGAAGGCGAGTCTGCGATTGGAAGGTCACTGGTTCGACCTCCCAGACCAACATTAAAAAAATGTGGGTGGGAAAGGTGAAGCACCCACACCTGCCTCCACCCTTTGCCCCACTTTGTGCCCTTGAGCAAGGTCCTTAACCCCCACCATCTGCGCCCCCTGGCGCCCTAGATGCAGCTCTCTGCTCCACACAGAGGGCTGTGGTAGTTTGGTGGTTTGTGGTCGTGTCAGGAAGGACATCCTGTGTAAAAACAATCACTAAGTCTCCGTGCGACTTCGCTGTGGTGACCCTGAAGAAGGGAGCAGCTGAAAGAAGAAGAAGAAGAAATCTCTTTCCCTGTTTTACAACAAAAATGGTCATAATATGTTCTGGACACGTCCCACCGGAAGGAGGCCTAGAGGAAGACCCGGGACAAGCTGGAGGGACTATGTTTCTCGGCTGGCCTGGGAACGCCTCGGGATTCCCCCGGAGGAGCTGGACCAAGTGGCTGGGGAGAGGGAAGTCTGGGCCTCCCTACTTAAGCTGCTACCCCCACGACCCGACCCCGGATAAGCGGAAGAAAATGGATGGATGGATGGATGGATGGATGGATGGATGGATGGATGGATGGATGGTCATAATAGACTTTAAACTGTTCTCGTACACGATACAACAAAGTGCACGTGCTGTCTCTGTAAAGACGACAAAAATATACATGAATAGTGGTACACAACACGAGACATGAAGCTGTAGAGGTTCTTGACAGACTGAAACAGAACAAATTATGTCTGACTGTACAAAACTTAATGCATGAAGTAGTTCTAGTTGTTTGTTTAGTTGTTGACAGTAATACGAGATGGTTGTTCAGTTTCTGTAAATAACTCCGGCAGTCAGCTGTGCAGTTCAGTCAAGCTGCTTCGGAGCCAAAGTATGAAAATTATTTTTAGTTTAGTTTTGCTGAGTTACACATCCATGAATTTCATCACAATTTTCTTATGCAATACAAAATAATCTTTGTTTTACCTTTAACTAAATGTGCAACTGAAGACATGACATGAAATGCATAAGCCCACCATCTTTCTTTCCAGAGTTTTAGACGGATCATATTTATGTTGAAAGTGATTAAATTAAAGCATTTTATTGTTAAATTGTGAAAATATTATTGTGCACAGGCTCGTGCATCACAAGAGGTCACGCCTGAGTCTGTGTCGGTGCTCGTGGCTCCAACCAAATCAAATCTGAGCTTTATTTGTAAAGTTTACCGAGTTATTGTCATTTTTGTTTCCTTTAGCCGTCCTGAGCAAACTGTCATGGCAGTGAACAAATCCTCAGCTCACATGTCTCTTGTGAATATTTTTCCCAGACGGAGGAGGAGGACGGCTGCGGCAGTGAGATAAAAACTCTACGAGGTCACAGTGGTCCAGTGTACCGTACCACCTTCCTGACGGACAGCTCTGGGCTGCTGTCCTGCTCTGAGGACGCAACCATTCGCTACTGGGACCTGGGCAGTTTCACCAACACGGCGCTGTACCAGGGCCACGCCTACCCGGTGTGGGACGTGGACGTCAGCCCCTGCAGTTTGTATTTTGCCAGCAGCTCACAAGACCGCACCGCCCGCCTGTGGACGTTCTCTCGCACCTTTCCACTGCGGCTGTACTCGGGGCACCTCTCCGACGTTGACTGCATCAAATTCCACCCAAACTCCAACTACCTGGCCACGGGCTCCACAGACAAGACTGTTCGTCTGTGGAGCACCCAGCAGGGGGCGTCGGTTCGCCTCTTCACCGGCCACCGTGGCCCGGTGATGTCACTCACGTTCTCCCCCAATGGCAAGTACCTGGCTTCAGCTGGGGAGGACCAGCGTGTGAAGCTGTGGGACCTGGCGTCGGGGACTCTTTTCAAAGACTTACGAGGACACACAGACAGCGTCACCAGCCTGTCCTTCAGTCCAGACAGCAGCTTGGTGGCGTCCTCCTCTATGGACAACTCTGTACGGGTGTGGGACATCCGCAGCTCCCATGGTGGGACACCCTCTGACGGCTCGTCCAGCGAGTTGGTGGGACTGTACACCGGGAACACCAGCAACGTTCATAACGTCCAGTTCATGGCCTGCAACCTGCTGCTGGTGACGGGGACGGCTCAGGAGAAGACAGAACTGTAGCCGCAACAGCCGGGTGTCGGTCAGAAGGAGCGCGGCTGTTGTCACCACATGTCCAGGTGTCAGAGTCCGACTTGGTTTACGACACCGATAAAAGTGACAAGGTTGTATTCTGAACTTAAACTGTTTCTCTTTAGAAACTGAACAAGATTTTCATTTATACATGAAGTGTCACCAGATCTTGTGTTCATTTGAAAAACCCTCGTTCCTCTTGTTCTGGAAGAGGTGCACTGTTGTGCTCATGTAAACACGGTGGTGCTTCCTGCTTTATGTTCCAGCACATGTCCCTCTTAACTGGAGTCAAATGTAAAGTATTATTTAGGTAATCTGAACCCTGCAGAGTAACTCCATACAGACAGAGGAGTTCTTACTGTACGAACAAGTTTATTTATTTAGCTCGAGTTATTCGTTCCATCAGCAGAACTTTATTTTTCGATGACTCTCTGTTTCTTACGCTGACTTCCAAAGTGCACAGTTAAAAAACTTTTGTTTTCATTTGTGTCAAGGTCAAATCTTTGAGAACAGAACAGAGTCAATAAATAAATGTATCATTGTTGGATCCATTTTCTGATTTAAAGAATCCATTTGTTGTTCCTAGAAGCCCAAGTTCAGAGGTTTTGTCTGAACCGATTGTAAGAATACATTTACGTTATGGACTCGTGGACAAACATTACCAGACTCGGTGTGTTTCCTTTTTCTGTGTGCTAATACATTTCTCATTTCATGTCCCTGCACTGAGACACACCAGTTCCACAGTGTGCAGTAAACTAAAGGGCCACCTGCTCCGTTGTAAAAATAAGTTTTTACAACGAGAAGCAGATGGAGACGTGAACATTAGAACATATAATGAAATCGTTCTTCCAGGAGCAGAGAACCTCGAGTAGAACGTGCTGAAGTCTGCTTCCTGTTGCACGAGAGAGAGAGAGAGAGAGAGAGAGAGAGAGAGAGAGAGAGAGAGAGAGGAGCTTTAGGGTTTCTAAGAATCCAGTTTTGTATTTTTCACACATTAAATTATAACTAGGCTGTATTTTTTAAATAGTTCTGTTTCTTATACACGAACAACCAGATTGTTCTTTAAGAAAAGGTTGATGAATAAATGTTCATGAATTGATTTTCAATAAACTGCAGCTTTTCAGTAAATGCTTTGTAATTCTTCTAAATGACAAATGATGCAGTGGATTCAAAAAAGAATTCAAACTTCCTTCACAGTTTTGTTAGGTTGCAGCCTGATGAAACAATTAAATCCATCTTGTTCTGACGTCGGGTCTCGGGGGCAGCAGCTGGAGCAGGGAGGACCAGACATCTCTTTCCACAGCCACCTCCTCCAGCTCTTCTGGGAGAAGTCCAAGGCCAAACAAGAGACATACTGGTAGTCTCTTCAGCGTGTCCAGGGTCTCCTCCCAGTTAAATATACCTGAAGCACCTCCCCAGGGAGGCGCCATGGGAGCATCTTTACCAAATAGCAGTTTATACACTGGCATGGTGCCAAAATCCTTTAAACATGCTGCCGTCCAGCCTCTCCTGAAAAAAAATCAAACCTTGACCCCTCAGTCGTTTCCAACTACCGGCCTGTCTCCAAACTCCCATTTGTTTCTAAAGTACTGGAGAAAATAATCGAGTCCCAGTTGAAGTGCTTCCTGGAGGATCACGCCATCTTAGAGCTTTTCCAATCTGGCTTTAAACCTCTCCACAGCACTGAAACTGCCCTGCTGAAGGTCTTTAACAACATCTTCAGATCCACAGATACCGGTGATTCTGTGCTGCTTGTCCTGTTGGACCTCACAGCCGCCTTTGACACCATCGACCATGAGATCCTCATTGCTAGGTTGGAGCAGTGGGTGGGCGTCACAGGGTCAGCCCTCAATTGGTTCAGATCTTACCTCACTGACAGATCCTTTTGTGTCTCCATCAAGGATTTTAGTTATGCCGTGGCAGAGCTTAAATGGGGGGGTTCTGCAGGGATCCATCCTGGGTCCCCTCCTATTCTCTTTATACCTGCTGCCACTTGGTGCTATTTTCCGGAAACAACATGCCCTTTCACTTCTACGCTGATGACTGTCAAATTTACTTCCCCTAAGACACAATGGTACATGCTCTATTCAACTGCTGCTCGACTGCCTGGCTGACATCAGGGACGGGATGGCTTTAAACTTCTTAAGTTTCAATGAAAAGAAGTCTGAAGTCATGTTGTTCCCTCCCAATAACACGATCACAAACCACTGCATCGACCTCTCCGCTCTAACCCTGTCAGAAAAACAAAGAGTCACTAATCTGGGCGTGATAATGGACCCTTCCCTGAAGCTTAACAATCATGTAAACATGATTGTTAAATCATGCTTCTTCCAACTGAGGTGGCTGTCTAAACTGAAGCCCATATTGTCCAAAAATAACCTGCATTCATTACATCTAGGCTTGATTACTGCAATTCACTCCTGTTTGGTATCAGTCAGACCTCCATTGCACGACTACAACTGGTCCAGAATGCAGCAGCCCGATTTTTAACCAGTACAGGCAAAAGAGAGCACATTACTCCAGTTTTGTCCTCACTGCACAGGTTACCGGTTCACCTTAGAATCCAGTTCAAAATACTATTATAAGTTATTATTATTATTATATTATTATTATAATTATAATAAGTATGTCTACAAATCTGTTCCAGTTTGTTTAAAAAGTCAGAAACTCCACTGGTCTCCATCATTCCTTGTTGAGTGTTGTTGATCTGGTATTTATTCTGTAGCCCACTTTGATCAGCTGCATGTAGTCATTTTCATTAAAAGACATAAAATCACCCACAGTTCTCATTGTTTTCAGTTTCAACCGTTTTGAATTTCTAATTGTAGGCTTTGACTTAGAACTATGTCAGTCTCCTCCTGGAGGAGGAACATACAGCAACATGCATGTTTTTATGTTTTGTACATGTCAATAAAACACTAAACTGGTAAGTTGCTCCTCCCTGGGCTGCCACCTTACCGTGGTGGAGGGGTTTGAGTGTCCCAATGATCCTAGGAGCTATGCTGTCAGGGGCTTTATGCCCCTAGTAGGGTCACCCAAGGCAGACAGGTCCTAGGTGAGGGACCAGACAAAGTGCAGCCCAAAGACCCCTATGATGAGAAAAACAAATGGACTTGATGTTCCCTCGCCCGGACGTGGGTCACTGGAACCCCACTCTGGAGCCAGGCCTGGAGGTGGGGCATGTGGGCGAGCGCCTGGTGGCCGGGCTTTTACTCATGGAGCTCGGCCGGGCACAGCCCGAAGAGGAGACGTGGGTCCCCCTTTCCATGGGCTCACCACCTGTGGGAGGGGCCAAAGGGGTCGGGTGCAATGTGGGATGGGTGGTGGCCGAGGGCGGGGACCCTGGCGGTCTGATCCTCGGCTACAGAAGCTGGCTATTGGGACGTGGAATGTCACCTCACTGGTGGGGAAGGAGCCTGAGCTGGTGTGTGAGGCTGAGAGGTTCCAGATAGAAATAGTCGGACTCACCTCTACGCATGGCTCAGGCTCTGGAACCAGTTTCCTTGAGAGGGGCTGGACACTCTTCCACTCTGGAGTTGCCCCTGGTGAGAGGCGCCGAGCAGGAGTGGGCAGACTTACCCTAACCCCCCAACTTGGTGCCCGTGTGTTTGGGTTCACCCCGGTGAATGAGAGGGTAGCCTCCCTTCGCCTACGTGTGGGGGGACGGGTTCTGACTGTCGTTTGTGCTTATGCACCAAACAGCAGCTCAGATTATCCACCCTTTTCGGAGTCCTTGGAGGGGGTACTGGAAAGTGCACCTCCTGGGGACTCCCTTGATCTGCTGGGGGACTTCAATGCTCACATGGGCAATGACAGTGAGACCTGGAGGGGTGTGGTTGGGAGGAACGGCCCCCCTGATCTGAACCCGAGCAGTGCTCTTTTGTTGGACTTCTGTGCTCGTCATAGATTGTCCATCACGAACACCATGTTCAAGCATAAGGGTGTCCACATGTGCTCTTGGCACAAGGACACCTTAGGCCGCAGTTCAATGATCGACTTTGTCGTCGTCTCATCTGATCTGCGGCCACATGTCTTGGACACTCAGGTGAAGAGAGGGGCGGAGCTGTCAACTGATCATTACCTGGTGGTGAGTAGGCTCCAATGGTGGGGGAGGATGCCAGTCAGACCTGGCAGACCCAAACGTATTGTGAGGGTCTGCTGTGAACGTCTCGCAGTCTCCTGTGAGACGGAGCTTTAACTCCCACCTCCGGGAGAACGTCGAATATGTTCCGGGGGAGGTGGGGGACATCGAGTCCGAGTGGGCCATGTTCCATGCCTCTATTGTCGAGACGGCTTACCAGAGCTGCAGCCACAAGGTTGTCGGTGCCTGTCGCGGCATACATACATATAAAAAAGTATGTTTTTGTACAAGTCTCACCACTGATTTAACAGCATCCTCGCGTTCTTTAACACTCACCACATTTGAATCACATTTATTCTGGCATCCAAGTCTTTTAATTCTAGCCACTACTTTAATCAGCCTTGACCAAGATGAAAATCTAGTGAAACGCTCCAGAAAATCTATAGTGTCATTTGTTGTCGTCACAAATGTCTGAACAATTTTAACCTCTAGGTCACCAACTAACAGACGAGGGCATGATTTAAATTCCCTGTTCCTCTTTCTTCCACAAAAATTCAGGACCCGTTAGCCAGTTAGTTGTCAAAATCTCAGAGGCACAAAGTCCTCTTGACATAATCCACTGGATTTTTAGTGGCGTCAATGTGATTCCATTGACTTGGACTTGTGTCATCTCTTATTACCTGGACTCGATTTGCCACAAATACATGAAACCGTCGTGCCTCATTAATATATGACAACACCACTAGTGAATCAGTCCAGAAAAACTCTGCGTCTATCTTCATATTGAGTTCTGATTTTAACAAAACACTCAATCTAGCAGCAACCTCTGTAGCCGAGAGCTCAAGACGGGGAATTGTTGTGATTTTCAAAGGAGCAACTCTGGCTTTAGCCATGATCAAAACACAATGGATCTCACCTTCCTCATTTTCAAATCTGAGATAGGAGCATGCACCATATGCTATGCTACTAACATCTGAAAAGTGGTGTAGTTCTGTTTTAATTATTTTCCCAAATCCTTGGGGGTGATAACATCTTGGTATCAATAACCCCTTCACAACCTGAAGACCGGACTTCCACGTCTCCCACCATCCAGGCAAGTCTTCAGGCAGAGGGTCATCCCACCCAATACTTCTGTGGCACAGATCTTGTAAGATAAGTTTTCCATTCAAAACGAATGGTGAAAGAAGTCTCAACGGATCATACAGAGAGGCTATTGCAGACAAAATACTGCGACGTGCATCAGGTTTATTGCTTAGATCTGTGTGAAAACCTAAACAGTCACTTTCAACATGCCATTGCATACCCAGGGTATGTTCAGTTGGTGCCAAATCAGGCTCAAGATCAGCAGAGACCACACTTTTCACGCAGACTCTCCCACTGGTACATTTTCATCTTTAAATCACTTCTTGGTCTGTTGCCTTCATACATCTCCTCCTACATGTCTCTGCGTGAGTGCAGCTACGGAGTGCG